GCTCCCTTAATACACGTCATAAAAATGCAACGGGAGATGAAAATCCACCTCCGTACATTAAACGGTGATAAGTCGTCCACGTGCGAAAAATCACTTTCAATAAAATTTTTCTTCCCGCCTTCCCCGCCTTTCTCAATTTATTTTCTTTCTTCTCTTTTTTTTCTTGCCATTATTTTCTCTCCTTTTACTCCTCTGCTTTAAGATTTGTTTGTATTATAAAAATCAAATGATTCAATTAATCGAAACTTGGAGCTAGTAATGCTTTGTCTTCTTCCTCCCCTGACAATCAATTCTGAATTTAATAATTTGATAGTTTTTTTCTTGTAAAAAATCCCTTTTGAGGAGAAGACATTCTATTTAATTATTTATTACTTTTTTTTCAAAATAACAGATTTATTTTTTAAAAAATAATATAAATATAAATATAAATTATCTCTAAATTATTTATATAAACATAAAATTAAAATGCAATTATCATTATAAAACAGAAGGAGTATTATTTTTATGGGTTATGAAACAAAATTTTAGAACTAAATATATGTTAACCTTGGTTGTAACGTAGGTCCATTTATGTCCTTATCAATGGCTTGGTAGCCTTGGTTACAGCATTTTCCACCAGAATACTCATTCTTTCACTTGAAATTTTTATAAGACCTATTCCCTTATAGTTATGTGTAATCTGCTAATCTAACATCTCCACCTCAACCACAAAAGAAAGGAAAACCCAATTATTAGGATCCTTGTACTGAAATTTGCACTTAACAAGTTTTAGTATAGATGTTTGCATTTATTAGCTTCAGTTATTTGAAGCAAAAGTGTTTCAATTTATTATAATTTGAAATGATAAATGAAAGAAACGCACATTGAGTAATATAATTCATGATATAGGATCAAATAAGATGAAATGTTATTAATGGTCAATTGTACTTTGTTCATTTGAATCAAAAACAAATTGATCCCCCAAGCAACAATAAAATAAAAAAGAAAAAGCTCAATGGCTACATAGATCTATTTCACAATTTGCAGCAACTATCATTTAAGTCACTAGTACTCTAAAATTATGGATTGTTCTATCATAAAAAACAAGTCTCAAGCCTCTACGAGAAAGGGAAAGGATCTATGTTCATTGGAGATGATCTTGTACCTTCTTCAAGAGTCTCTTTGGAATTGCATAACACTTTGGCACAAGTCTTAGTCAGATTCTCTCCTTTAATTAGAACAACTTTGTGTAAACCTTAATTTACAACAATGAGAGACAGCAGATTTGATGGACTTCAACAAATTGCATCAGACTTCCCAAGTTCTGAACCTTTATCTACGACCTGGCAAAAGAAAGCATTAAGCATGATTAAATAATAAATGAATGGATAAATGAAAAATGAAATTGGCATATACAATAACATCAATATGCAAGACATTGTTATTTTGATCGAAGTCAGTCTCAACAATCCGTGAAATAATTAAATCAATCCCCTGCTTTTTTTTTCATCTATGTATACTTGAAAATGTATTATATTTTTATTCAGTAGCGAGAGAGCTAGAACAACAAATAGGACAAAACACAAGAAATTAACATAAAACATGAATCTTGGCGACTAAAAACTAGGAATTTTACAATTATATTTCATTGAATCTGAATTAATTCAATCTCTGGAAGAAGAAAAAAAAATTAAATTTCTAATTAACTCAAAGAAGGCTTGTAAATTTAGAAAGGTAAGAAATATAAACAGAATCATAAATAATTATTAATTAGTCTATTATCTAAAATTAAAACCTAAAAAATCGATAGAAAGCAAAAGGGGGAGAAGAGGCCCTAACAAAAATTTTCTTTGGGTTTACCAACTAAGAGACAGTGTCAACGGAAATCGTATCATCAAAAAGATTTATTTCCCAATTTCAGAAAACTTTCCAGTTGAATGAGACGCAAAACTGCACTTGCTCCAAAATATAGTACACTGTAAATTCAAGAAACAAGAAACTACCATTAATTACAAGTAAAAATGAAAGTACTTCTATAAACTGGTGATGTAGATGGAGAGGAAAAGGATCGGGTGAAATGAAAACGTTATAGCATGAAACGATTGCACCATGACCGTTTGCCTCGACGCCTGCTGCTTGCCCGTGAGAATCTAAGATGGAGAGGAACGAAGTCCTGTGAAAATAGGGCAAATCTTCTAACCCTAACTTTGGGTTGGGGACTTAATCTCTGTTAATGTTGACGGAGATTTGTGTTTTCTATTAAATTTCATCTCCCATTACATTTTGATGATGTGTATTAAGGAAGTTGAGTTGTTGTATTTTTATTGGAGCGGGTTACCACGTGAGTGGTATCACCGTGATATTGTAGAATTTCTTGTTTGTTTCAGTAGAAAATTAAGATATCATAGTCAATTAAAATATTATTAATAAAAATTTAATTGAATTAATATTTATTAATTTAAAATTTTTAATTAAAAAAATAAGATTAAATATCTAAATTTTCATAATGTCAAATAATTATTTTATTAACTTATTAAAAAACAACTAAA